GTGCTCTTTTCTTACTGCTGCAAAAAGTATATAATAAACACTATCTAGTGATAGGTTTTTATTTGTACAACCCTCACACATACCAGTGATTACAGAAATGTAATTCCGCATGTTTTACTTGTCAGATATCACTGTGCTTCCATTTCCCTTGCCGGAGGCAACCCCGTTTCGCATGATTGGCTCCCTGGAAAACACACACGAAGGTTACGATGGCTTAGTGAAGATTTTTTGCTCTGAAATTGTGACTAGGTTTTTGCCTTCTAGGGAAAGCTTGATTTTCAGAACTTCAGTTGTATCTGTTTGTCCAGCCTGGAGGAAGGCTACATTGGCTTTTAACATGACCCATGTAGTCTTTGATAGCCACCTTGCTGGTTGGTATAACAATGTATTCTGTGTTCTTTTGTTCATTACCTGTCCTAGACCTGGAATCAGTCTTTTCTCTCTGACCTCCTTAGGGGAGACCCTTACTCCTGAGGCAGGCCAAGTTACTAAAAGTCAATTCTCCAGGGAAAAAAAATTGCTGAAAAAAAAATTGCTGAATGACCAATTCATTCAAAGCCAACTTAACAAATGGATGCATGTGGCAGAGAAGGCCAGTACAATCCTGTAAATCCTATAAAGTACCCAAAAATATGAAGTCTGGTGAGAAACTGGACTTGTGATAACAAAATACTGAGCCCTACATCTACTAAGCACAGTTTCCTTTCAACACTATGAGGCAGGTCAGCTCAGCGAGCTTGTTCATAGTTACACAGCTTAGAAGTGTCTATGTTGACTCCAAAGGACAAGTGCTTTCTTCTACTCAGTGTGTTTTTCAGGGCATGGTGTTCAGTACCACATTTATTACCTAGAATAATACTATAAAGGGATGCCTTTAAAAATAGAACTACCATATGACCTAGCAATTCCACTCCTGGGTATATATCTGAGAAAAATAAAAGCACTAATTCAAAAGGGTACATGCACCCCAATGTTTATAACAGGATTATTTACATTTGCCAAGATATGGAAGCAACCTAAATGTCCATCAACAGATGAATGGATAAAGATGTGGTTTATATATGTAATGAATAACTAAAAAATCAGCCATAAAAAAGAATGAAATAATGCCATTTACAACAACATGCGTGGACTTGGAGAGCATTTTGCTAAGTAAAATAAGTCAGACAGAGAAAGACAAACACTATGATATCACTTATATGTGGAACCTAACAAATACAAGAGACTAGTGAATAAATCAAAAAAGAAGCAGACTCACAGATATAGAGAACAAACTAGTGGTTACCAGTTGGGAGAGCGAAGCAGGGTAGGGGTAGCATAGGAGTAG